GCTCTCAGAGTAACCACCGAAATTGGGCAGGAACCCCATATTAACGTACAATTTGGAGCCGAACAAACTGGCTTACCGGTCAAAGGTGCAACACAAGTTGGGAAGCCGGGATTCGTGTTTAAAACTTCATAATCTTATTGTCATGGTAGATGCTACGGATTGGGGCGTGCAAGTAGTATGTTTTCTCGTAAATCCGCTTCGCTTCTTTTGAAAAGGGAGAGCTATTACGGAATTTGTGGAGTCGGGTTTGCTTGGAATCGAGCAGCAGTCAATGAATTTCTAGGAATTTTCAGCTACCAGCACGTATATCAACACACACGTAGCACTACTGAACGCACAAACACTAACCCACCGCTACGCACAACTACGAGCTGATGATGTCACCTCGATTGGTGATAAAACGTTTGCAAGCAAACTTCCCAGCTCAGCGAACAAGCCAACGACCATCTACGCTGGTTTAGCTGCTGATATTCCCCTCTATGTTAAACCCTTATTGTTCTAATCCTATAGGAAGTACCAATAGCTTTCCATGTAGGAGAGCATTTGTGTTGGCTGAATTTCGGGGCTTACCTTTTCATACAATCCGCACCTAAATCTGAGCACTTGTAGTTCTTTCTTATTTGTTTGTTTATATCGGAATGATGGCTCCATTACGCATTTGCACGTCTAACTTTTACTTCGGTGATATTTCTCTTCTTCGCGATTTGTGTGGGGAATCCCAAGTTAGAATAAACTGGTCGGTGCACTACAGTTGTGGCTTTTTGAACTAATTCTTTGTATAAACATCACTCTTACAGGTTATCCAAAAGAGAAAAACAGGTTTGGAACAGGTAACTTCTTGCTGGACTGGTAACGTGGAAGTAAATGCAAGTAAACTGTTAAAAGTCGGAAACGACGCATTTACAGGCGTGCAACACATTAGGAAGGCCTTTGTGCGAGCAACCATGGCAATTCTTTTTCCCTCAGGTCTTCAACTCGTGAAAGCATAAAAACCAGCTTCAGTTACACTACAAAGTTAGCGATTCCGTTGATAAAATAAGCCAGCCTGCACTAATGGATAATCCTTGCATCTGTTGTTGTGGANACAACCGGGTTGTGAGGTCGGTTGTCAAGGATGACCTGCTGTAAATCTCCACTCCTCCGCGAAAGCTAAAAAAAATCACCCGGTAATTTCTTACTATGATGATTACGGCAGGTAGGCCCTTGGTTTGGAGACATATTTAAAGACAAATGCGCAAAATGCAAAAATTATATCATGCCAAACGCACCTGAGAGGTAAGTCGGCTGGATATCCGGAAAGTAAGAATGGTCTGCAGCATCCGAACCTTCGAGAAACGTCTTCATGGGAGACTGGGCATGACTAGTAACTGTGAAACACGAAGGTAGCTAATAAAGTTGTTTTTTGTTATTGGTTAGTACACCACAAAGTTATAGGATACCAGAAGTATCACGTGAAATGTTTGTGAAGTCCAAAAGTGAAAAATAACGAGAAGAAACATACTTGCACAATTTTCCTTCGTTAATGCCGAGTACCACCCATTTATGGTGTTACCACTAGGTCCCAAATTTTTGTTCCATTCGCAAGAATGACCAGCTCGAGATTTGTACTCAATTTGAGAGTCTTTATGGTGAGCTAGCTGGGCTGGTGCCTGTATTTTGGATGAAATTGACGTTATTCAACTCGTGTTATCAATAACTTGGCTACAAACCTGGACTTAAACGACTTCTAACAACGAAACATTTCAAGGTACCAAAATATTTACAGAGAAAATGACAAATTTTTACTGTCCAAGCCAGATGAAAGCGCAGAAATTGTCAAGATAGATAAATCTGACTACATTAATTAAATAAATACCATCCTCTTGGATGGATCCAAATTTAAGCAAACAGAAGCCGGTGAAGATAAGTCGCAGCCTACTGAAATAGCATGGTATAAAGTAGTATGACATCTAGAACAATCTGGAAGAATGAATGCTAATGCTCTGGAACGTACTTTCCCTAACATTACAACAATTTCTCCTAAAGGTGCATAAATCCACCCTACCTCCCAGGTTCATCGTCGATGTCTAATTCTCCTTATCTCACCTTCGCTAAATGGCTTGCCAGTCTGTTAAAAGCAGTCAGGAGAGAAAAAATGACAAGCGGTCTGGGAAATCTTTTTAAGTTCCTCTGTCACAGTAGAAATCTAAATGTCGATAAACGGTTGTTACTTGATCTGGACGTCTTGTCATTTTCTACTGCCGTGACACTCATGGAGACAGCACACTACGTTTGCCACCACGTTGAATGCGACGGTAAAGAAAAGGTTCACATTTCGGACCCTGAGGAGATACTGATAAATGATAAGGAACTATTGCATAAGAATTTCAGTTAACCTTCGAAAATTAAAGTTATCATCAGAGGACCGCTTTGCGATGGACCTGTAAATGCCAGTATATTTTCTTTGTAATCTTCCGTCCACGGCAACAGAAGCGTAGCTTAGCAGCCACAAAGAGATGCTCCTCCGACTGCTTATCATCCCAATTATTGTTCTTGGAAAATACATTCTTGCAAACTTGATTTCATGAATGTTTTACTCTCAAAAATGTACACTCTGTAAAGCACAATCTTGGACACTGTTCGTTTGGGAAGAATCCCGTCTACATTAGGCCTGTATTCAAAGGTGACTCGGTTGCCGAACTATTTAGAAGATTGGGGAATTCTGTTGATGCGATTTGGGTGGTCGTTAATCTGTTCTTGAGCCTCAGTTCCAGCCCCACTATTAGGCTCATTTTGGGGGACAAGACGTTGCGTCCTACCACCAGTTTCACGCGTACTCATTTGTATTCTCGTGCCAAGCATTATGCGTTGGTCGTAAGATAGGACATTTGTCGGACAGTATGAGAACGCAGTTCCGTCCATATAAATGGTAGTTTGATGAAACCAGTTTCGTCTTCAACAAAAAGTGCACCTAAGGGGTCATACACCGGGCACCTATTTACCGATCACGGCTGGTACGACCCAGACTACTATCGACCACATGGACGATTGGATTCCGAATGTGACTTACAAATTCGAGTTCAAAAGAAACTCGTATGACTTCTGCACTTGAGGTTATCTGCGCAAAATTCGGTCCCACAAAGTTCTCTTACATTGATATCACCCACTTTATTCCAGTCACAGCTATCTACGCTACCTTCATTCTTCTCATGCGAATCTCTGCAAACTATAATGCCGTTGTTAAAAATACTTCTACAGGTCATTCCCAGGTAACAATGATAAATGTTGAGTTTCACATTGTTAATTTTAACAGTTCTGAATCATTCAATTTTCCGCTCACAAATGTTGTTTCATTTGGCCAATGCTTATACAAATCACTCATTGCTATCTTATTCATGTTAGTTCTTGTGTATAGCCCGTTTAATCTCTGGTGCTGTTTAGAGCAGACAACAACAAGAATCTTCATCTTTGTTAAACAAATTTGACAATCTGAAAGCACTGGTTACAAGCGATTCTCTTACAGTCGATAATTTGTAATGTAACTCCAAGCAGTTTGCTGGCATGCAACACGTTAACCGTAACGAGCGTGTCGTGCTTCAGCTCCTGATACCTGCAGTAAGGTCTCACATATAAGTCAGTGGCAAGTGATTTTCAGGCATGATTAAATTTTGGTCTCGAGCGTCAAGAGGAGTAGTTACGGAGTTCTCGTGAAAGATGAACAATTCAATATACTTGGTCCCAACGCCGGTCAAATGTCATAGGTTTCACGCGCATAAAAGTTCTCGACTTATGTTTCAAGATTCCACAGTAGACCATGGATAGACAAGAGTAAATGCCTCCACAAAACCTTTGACAACTACAATTTTTAACGAATGCAGAAGCTATCAATATCACCGAGCGTTTACTCTTTGTTTCATAAAGTGACTACTACACGGTCAATGCTACCTCGTCGACGTGCCGAATAAGTCCTGAAAAAACGCGCAGTTGGCAGACTGCCGCTGCCACCTTTATATTAGATCAGCAGGCATTGTTGAGAACTGCAGTCACATGAAACTCTGTGACAATCTTATGGACTGTGCTATCCAGTAGTGATTTACGGCGCCTGTGAGATTTATATTACCTTGACTTGAATCCATAAATGCAGTTGGCAGACTGCCGCTGCCATCTCTATATTAGATCAGCAGGCATTGTCGAGAACTGCAGTCACATGAAACCCTGTGACAATCTTATGGACTATGCTATCCAGTAGTGATCGATGGCGTCTGTGTGATTTATATTACCTTGACTTGAATCCATAAAATTGCCATACGGACAAGAAAGCCAACCGAAGAATGATGACAAAACACGGACAAAACACCCAATTTAAGCGGCTTCCTCATAGGAGTGGTTTTGTTGCTGAAATATATGCCAATAGACGTGAATAGTGATTGCTGCTAATGTGGGCTGAATTAGGCGGTGAAATTATTAGGGTGTTATGAATAGTGGATGTTGACAAAGACAAAGGACACGGAAGACAAATAATATGAGTAGTATCGTCTAGACAAACCTTGGAACTACATATGACCGAGGGACCAAAGTATGGACATTAACCTTTAAACATGTTTGGATTTCGGTTTTGCAGCAAACTGGTGATCGTCGAACTCAAATGTATACATACAATTGGTGGTATCACATGCGAAACAAAAGAAAGAGGGTCAACCTAAACATGGTCAACTTCTATAAACTCCAACCGAAAGTTCACAGCTTCTCACTAACCACCAACGACTTGGCGAGTTCAGCAAGGTCAGTGAATAAGATTATCGCCAAATTTAATATACAAATTTAACGTTCATGGAAGCTGATTACACTTGGTTTGTATGTAGTGAATGGGCGTAAAATCCAATCTCTTTTTTCGAACGACATGACCAGCTACGACGTTTTCCATGCTTAGCGTCGGGCTCAGTCCTTGTAAGGACGTCCATAATGGTTAGTATTTTTTTGGTTTTCGAACAGAGAGGAGGAATTTATGAAAGGATAAACTCTTACTAGTAGGCCAGTGCGCTGACAGCAGCAAATTAAAAGGTATGGCAGGGAACGGGGGGATTAATCAGTTAAATGAGCAAAAGGGGGATTTGGGAAAAGTTCATGTTTTAATTGATGATAAAATGCAGATGATAATTACGCTAAAGTAAGCACTTGTTTGGTAGTCATATCTAGGGTTGACGTGTAATGCTTAACAGGTTCTCAGTCGTACGTTGATGTGGTGGGTCACGGCTCTTTACAGCGCTGTTAAAAGACCGTAGTTCGGTAAGTATTTCGCTCAAAACGGACAATTGTTCAATGAGTACATAGTTCGATTGAAATTGCTTTTGTGTTCGATAAATGGGAAAGGTAAACTTTATCTGAGGTTAACTTAAAAAGATCATTTTAAGGGAGCAATTGGAAAACTAGAGTGATCCATGGAAGGAAAGGGAGCCACGTTCACCCTCAGTGTTGTCGACGAATGCGGGTTGAATTCCAGTTTGGTAAGACTGAGGCGGTAGATACACCGTGGATAAGTCTGGCAGAGTCTTGAAATGCTCTCATTATAGGCTCCAGGGACATTCCGTCACGTTCGCGTATAGTCGTACAAAATTCTTCGATAGGGTGGGATGTAAGTTTGCAGGTCTTCAGTCTAAAAACCTGTGTATTATTTTGTAAAAAGTGTAACTTATGAAGGCAATCATCTTTATAACTTGTTCACAGGAAATGGAAGTGGAAAAAAAGCAAATCAGTTTGCAACTGAGGAAAGTTCATGAGATTTTCATCCAATGTGATGGATCCTGAATCGGTGGTTCAGCTAAGTGGATAAAGACCACAAGTGTCATTAAAAGTGACTAGATTTTCAGAATGACTAAATGTCGCAGACCTCTACTTCCGTCAGGTTTAAGTGGACCGCATCGCGTAGTTTCCCGACAAGGAAACATAGAGTCGTCTGCAAGCAAACAGGTACTGCCAGTCTGACAGTAACGATATCCTGGACAGGCTATCGAGTTGGATCAGGATACTCCCAGGATTAGCAACCCTGTTACCAGGCCGGGAGGATGGGTTCAGTGGTACGGAACGTAGAATGCTCCCAAAGGAATGTGTGAATTTGGTGCTTTATTGTAGGGTTATCGTAAACATAGACCTGTCAGTTACTTGACTGGGGAAATGTAGCTACTGCGGCTTGACAAGATCTTCTGTGAATAATTAGGTGGATTAGATAATAGATACAGAAAGCGCTCTGTAAACCTTATTTCCTCAGACAGATTAGCTGTTCTGATTGGTTGCTTTGTAACTGACTGTCCTAGAATGAGTGATCTGTCTGAAGCGGAATGATAAGAGGCTTCTTCCAAGAGAAAAACAATTAGCTGACAATCGATTTGAAGATTAATTTATTTAGTAGGTAGTCACACTTAGTGTTACCAAAAAGTGGACAAAAATTTGAGGAGGGATCCTCAGCAAAACTCGTTTGAATGTTATGAGAAAGTACGCTGCACCGTGTTCGTTCTAGAAAATGGAGCATTCGTAGTAGTTAGGAGCAAGAAAAGGACGCATCAGAATGGACTGTTTTGAGTTAACAACCTGACAGTTTAAGAGACTGCAGGGAGCATCGAGACTGGCACCAATCAGATAGTTAGCCTTGGTTCAGCGAGACTGAGAATTTTCACACCTCGAGGGAAACCCACCAATTTCACACGCATTCATGTTTCCTAATATGTGCGTAATTTCTGTACAAGTAGTATCACGTAAGCAAGTAACACGTTAGCCACAGGATTAAACACATAATCCAGTTCATGATTAGTGCGTTTTTAGGAAGTAATTATGTGCTATTTATCAATGAGGCGATTAGTTTGTATGTAAAGGTACATGTGGTGCAAATAACGAAAGAACTTTTGCTCAAATTTCTATCGTCTTAATCTCAATAAAATTTCCTACTAATGGTAGTAAACACAAGACAACCAAGATTGGAACATGAGTACCATCAAGAAATACTTTTATGGAGCTGGTGAGTAGAAACAGATATCATAGTTTGCAGCTGTTTGAGTTTTGCTGTGGAAAACGAATACGAACAACTCACCCAAACATTCACCAAAACGTAACCACGTGAAAAATGTACATAACAAAACAACTTGGCCACAAAAATTCTAGCCGAATTGCAGACATTCCACAACCAGAAACAGCTTTTAGACGACAAGAATATGACCAGAATGCACTCACCTAGATCACGTTGAGATGGTATGGAGTTGTTTGTAGTCGTATTGAGTAGCATTCTGTTAGAGCAGTGAAAATGCATGAACTGAGAAGTGGGTACGTTTGTATGCGTAGTTATAGTTCTCTTTTTGAACGGCCGACCACCATTTGGATATGTTAGTTTACTAACTATGCGCACCCGACCACCGTTGGATATGTTATTTTACTAACTATGCGCAGACATCTAGTGATTCTACTATTCTTGACCGATCAACTCATGTGGAATGTTGGTCAGGCACATTGTATTCGAAAGATCCCGTTTGGGTTGGTTGCTCGAGTAAAGCTCATCCTAAATGTTTGTGACGCGCTTTTGTCTAAGGATACTAACTGTTCATTTTCGAACATCAAAGTTCGTATCACGGAAGAGTGGACTTGAATACAACTGAGTTCTGCTTGAAGCAGTTATTAGTTTTGTAGCTGTTGATTTGATTGCTCAACTTTAGTAGACTCATATATCGTCTACTGTGAGACTTTACCCTCTGAGAAACTGAAGTTCTGGCAAATAACTATTGTCAACTGTCTACGATGCTGAACACCTTTCCAGTAAGAAACTTTATTTCATTTTTGAGCAGATTCCTTGTTTCCTTCAGCTCGTGCACCTGATTCCACAACAATAGATGCAAGGATTATCCAGCAAGTGCAGGCTGGCTTATTTTATCAACGGATTCGCTAACTTTGTAGTGTAAGTGAAGCTGGTTTGTATGCTTTCACGAGTTGATGACCTGAAGGATGAAGAATTGCCATGTTTGTTCGCACAAAGGACTTCCTAATATTTTGCACGTCTGTAACTGCGTCTTTTCAGACTTAACACTTTACTTGCATTTACTTACACGTTAACAGTCGAAAAAGAAGTTATCTGTTCAAAACCTGTTTTTCTCTCTTGGATAACCTGTAATAGTGATGTTTATCCAAAGGATTGGTTCAAAAAGCCACAATTGTAGAGCACCGACCAGTTTATTTTAACTTGGATTTCCCCACAGAAATCGCGAAGAAGAGAAATATCACCGGAGTACAACTTAGACGTGCAAATGCGTAATGGAGTCATCATTCCGATATAAACAAACAAATACGAAAGAACTACAAGTGCTCAGGTTTTGGTCTGGATTGTATGAAAAGTTAAGCACCGAAATTCAGCCGACACAAATGCTGTCCTACATGGAAAGCTATTAGTCATGCCTATAGGATTAGAACAATAAGGGTTTTCCATAGAGGAGAATGTCAGTAGCTCAGGTAGCGTAGATGGTCGTTGGCTTGTTCGCTGAGCTGGTCAATTGGGTGGCAAACGTTTCAACACAAATCGAGGTGACATCATCAGCGCGTAGTTGTGCGTAGCGGTGGGTTAGTAGTTGTGCGTTCAGTAGTGTTACGTGTGTGTTGATATACGTGCTGGTAGCTGAACTTTCCTAAATATACATTGACTGTTGCACGAATGCAAGCAAACGCGACTCCACAAATTCCGTAATAGCTCTCCCTTCTCAAAAGAAGCGAAGCGTATTTACGAGAAAACATACTACTTGCACGCCCCAATCAGTAACATCCACCATTACAATAATATGATGAAGATTTAAACACGAATCCCGGTTTTCTAACTTGTGTTGCACCTTGGACCGGTAAGCCAGTTTGTTCGGCTCCAAATTGTACGTTAATATGGGGTTCCTGCCCAATTTCGGTGGTTACTCTGAGAGCGATCTGCAGACATAAAATGTAAAACTTTCTTTGATCTCAGGGCGAATATGTATGAAGAGAAGAAGAACCAATTCGTGAATTGGGGAGCATCTAACGTCTTCTTGGGGGTGAGTAAAAAAATTCGACTACATCAAGGACAGGTCGGTTCGGAATCGCTGTCATGGCTATCTAGGTGTAATTAAGTACAACTAAGGAATTTTTTTAATTCTTGGCTTTATTATATGTATCCGGCAGGCACCGCTGCATTTTGAGGGCATTATTCGAGATCCCCGAATAGTCTCTTCTTTATCGCAATTAAACTGACAAATTATGACTGGTCATCCCCCAGCAACTCAGAGCTGAATAGACTGTTGATGCGAATGAGGACACGGGATAAAAAAAACAACCAATGGAACCGCACGACTGAATAACTAATCGCGGTCAAAGGTCATCCCCGGCTACCAGCGCGTATATCAACACACACGTAACACTACTGAACGCACAACGACTAACCCACCGCTACGCACAACTACGCGCTGATGATGTCACCTCGATTTGTGTTGAAACGTTTGCCACCCAATTGACCAGCTCAGCGAACAAGCCAACGACCAATAAGGGTTTTTAGCAGCTTTTGTTTGCACACACTTCTTTTTGGCCCTTATTTCCGCATACCTCTACGGTACTTGTGGCTGTTAAGCCTGAGCGTGCTGCTTTAATTTGTGTTGATATCCAAACCACGGGTTAAGTAAAGTTTAGGCGATTACTGTGGTCTCAGACTGCCCTTTGTTTCTAGCTATGCGGCAAAATTAAGCTGCGATTTGGATGTCGCGCTGGGATTTAGGACCGACTTCTACAACAATTAGTGCTTAGGTTGTTGTTTTATCCCGTTTGGTCCAAGGCAAAGTAAAGTGTAGTCACAGCTACTTGGGGGCCTGGAAAATCCTACATCCTGATCCAGTATAGCATCGATCTTTAAAAAAATGTTCAAGTTATTGAGTTACACCGAATTCGGCATTGAAATGATTGATGAAGTGAATCGAATTAAAAACGAGCAAATGAAAAGTATTTGCGTGAATAAGACGAGTAACTAAAATAAATCAAAGATTGAAAGAAAGCTCCTAGAAATGTCTTTGCACAAAGAGTTTCTTGAAGTCAAGAACGCAACCCTTGAAGCCACGATCATGAGGATGGACAAGTCATGATGAAAAATCTACAGGAGAAATGTAGAATGAATGAAGTTAGTTTGTTTATTCGGTAAAGTTGACCAAAACGGGGATGAGTAAGTGAGTAAGGGATAAGTCCTACATATATCTGAGGTTTGCCCGACACAGTTAATTAAAGTTGACCGCACGAGGACTGACAATCATCTTCATTTCAAACTTTTCGACAAGAACTGAAGTTGCGGACCAGGCAAATTTCCTACTATCGTATATTGCCTGCTGTTTTCTCGCGAGGTTCAACATGCAGTTGAGTTTAAAGGTGTTCGTCATAAGAAATGGACTAAACAGAATACTCAATCGGGACATGAAAGGGCCAGCAGGTTTAAAAAAGGAAAACTGGTTGAGCTGTATTGTGGCACTGTAACTAGTTGGTTCACGATTGTCGTCCTAAATTTCACAGTATGGCAAAACTTTGCGGTGTAAAACGAACTCAGTCCCTTTGGACTAGGTGAAAAAGCTCACTAATCTTAGTTTCTTATCAGGTGCTACTTGGTGGAGGGTGCATGACCATAACGCGAATTGAATTTGCAGCTGAAGCTAATCCGCCTTAGTTGAGCTCGATAATTTCTTTGATATTTTGAGAGTAACAATCTGGCTGACTACTAAACAAAATTTGTTAGTGCATCAGTGACAAGGAGCAGGTTATGCTCCTCATAAAAAGCGGTATTTAAATTAATGAACTTTGCTCAGTTTCAAATAATGTACTAATGTACCTGACTGGATTAAGGATTAAGGACCTATAAAGAAAGATTTGTGCTCAGGAAGGTTGTCAACAAAAATAAACAAGGTGCATTTTAATGACAAAGATTGTTTTTCACAGCATTGTCAAGAACTGCGTGGTTGGCATTAAAAATATGAAAGTGAATGTTTCTACCTTTTGCTTAACTGAAAACTGTTCATCCTACTTGTATCTGCGGATACTACTGATGAGTCATGCGAGTAGTACGTGGTTATCTCGTATCTCCACCTCACATCTAACGGAAGGTGGGGTTTATCATGGAACTTGTGGAACCGATTTGCAGCGTTCGTTCAGGTTTGCGTGTTAATCAATAAATATCCACGAAAGTCCAAGAAGGCACATGAGGATGTCCAGTTTTTAAAAACAAAGTGCACATGAGATGTTTACTTTGTTGTCCAATAGATTGCAAATGCATATCTGGTGTTTGCTATTAAGTGGCTTCGCGGCAGACTGCTTCCCTCCTTGCCCAGTATAACTCAAGGTCTTTAATGTTGTTTTGATCAAAGACAAAAGTAAGCAGAGCAACCATCCTATGCAAATAGTTGAAGCGATAATTTCGAAGTGAATAATGGTGGTTCCTTTCCAGTAATTGGACCACAATGCTGTTTTTTGCTTTTGCATTGTCTCGTTTTGCCTCATTTTGAGACATTGCACGAAAAATCAAACCTCGGCTAGTAAACATTAAACGTTTGTGCAAGCCACACCAGTCATTTATGGAGATTATCTATCCATTTAACTCCTCTTTATTAAGGCCATATTGCGTGCATATTTAGTGACCCAGTCCAAAACGTCCACATCTTATCAACTTGGGGGTGCCCTGACCTCAGAGTAGAATTCGTGCACTATATCATCATGTATCTTCTCAGAACGTTTAATGAAATGGCTGTGTTGGCTGAATTTAGGCAGAGGGTAAAGTCAACCGTCTGTTAAGGATCATCAGCCTATTCAGCTTTGAGTTGCTGGTGA